CACCTGCTGCGATATCCAAACGATCTGATCAATACTCTCCACCTGCCGAGAGTCAAAAGTGACATCCCTGCTCAGAACAAAATCAGAAGCTCCCAAACGATAATCAGATGAGCCTCCGAATCCCAAACGCGCAATCGGATTAAATCTCACATCCTCGATGTGATCAAATGTTGGGTAACCAAATATCCGAAGCCAACCAAAACCTGAAGCAGCTCCACCAGATCTAATAACTCCTAATACTGCAGTCGGCGACCTATGACTAAGATGACCCAAATATGTCGAAGCTCCAGAAGCAATGCTCGACAACAAACTCCGATCCTCCTCCAGAAAAGAACGACCCATCAAAACTGTCATCTCATCTTGTCGCCCCAAAGTCTCCACACCAATGAAGTGTCTCCTATTGCCGTGAGCTCGGCACAAACGCAAGAAAGGACCCCTACCAAAGCTAGAACAACGAGTTACCTTTCTGCCAATACACTTCTTCCAATTGTTATAGACTTCTAGAACTTTACACCAACGGGAACTGGCCGCGACCCAATAATGCCTAAAACAATCACCAACTGTGAAAACTACAAAACGATTACCTCCCAATGATGCCTCCTTGGAAGGCCCCCAAATGTCTAACTGAACACCTCCTAAAAGACCCCTCGCTCGATGGATAGGAGTGCCAAACTCCACATCGGTCTTGCTCATCCCAATATGCTCAAAGGACTTCCATCTGCAGGTCAAAGCACTCCTCAACAACCTATGCACGACATCACCAATCAAATACCCCAGCACCAAACAACGCCACAACCTAGCCAAATCCAATGAAGTCGTCAGAGCTCTATCAATCATCGTGCTCCCAAGCAAATAGTATAAGTTACTCTTTCTGACGCCCTTCACCACAATCATGGACCCAAATGTAACCTTCAAGTGTGCATCCGCCAAGGTCACCCTATAGCCTGCTGCCTCCAAAGCTCCAAGTGAAATGATGTTCTTCTTCAACTGAGGAACGAATCTCACTCCAACCAACTCCCGAATCACCCCGTCACTCATCCTGATCCGAACGGTACCGATACCACCAATAGAGCATTTGTGATCATTCCCCATGAGCATGAAATCCCCTCTTTCTAACCCCTGAAAGCTGGAGAACCAATCTCTCCTAGGGCAAATATGGTATGTAGCACCCGAATCCAACATCCACTTTGTAGAGTAGGCAACACAAACTGACGGTAGTGCAGATAATGAGTAACCTGAAGAATCCGAATCTGAATTGTTGCCACTAGTCTTGACAATATTCACCTCTGAAGCTTGTACAGCTTTCCCCTTATTCTTCCCGGCTTGATCATTCAACTTTGGGCATTCAGCTTTCCAATGTCCATCTTCTTTACAAAAAGCACACTAATTCCTACGAATTCTAAGATGTACTCCTCTAGAATGTGACCTTCTACCTCGGTTTGGACCCTTTGCTCTTGCAACCAATGCCCCCGCTACCGGCTCAATAGAAGTCTCCTTGTCCTTCTTCCTGAGTTGGTAATTCACTAATGTAGCGGTGATCTCACTATATGAAAGAGATGCATTCCCATTAATAAGAGTAAGGACAAACGTCTCATATTCCTCGTCGGGCAAGGAACTCAACAATAGCAATGCCTTGTTCTCATCTTCAACAATGACATCTACATTCGCCAAATCTGTAAGAAGCTTCGTGTAGTGGTTCATGTGATCACTAATGGATGTCCCCTTCTTCAATTGGAAGCGATAAAGCCTCCTCTTCAAATGCAAGCGGTTTTCAACGCTCTTCGTCAAGTACTTGCTCTCTAGGACCTCCCAAATCTTCTTCGCAGAAGTCTCATTCATCACATCATATTTTAGATCTTGAGTGAGACAAGACCTAATCACACCACACGCTGTCCGATTCATCTTTTTCCAAACCTTCTCATCAATGTCGTCCGGTTTCCCGTCTAACTCCAACGTATCTTCTAAATTCTGCGCATTGAGCGCATCCAAGTTAGTGCCATTGAACTTCTCCACGTCAATCTTCATCTAGTGGATACTCAAACTTTGGACAGTCTTCACACCTGAAGAACTACCCTCAACTCCCTCTTTCTCGGTCATAATCCTCAACACACCAACAACCAATGCGGAAACAAACGAAGAATAGATCCAAAACTGAGAAAAGAAAGAAGCTTTACCGAAAAGATCCCACATTTTCTCACAAACTAAAACCCTAGATGAGCTTCCCAAATCGATCTACTCCTCCAAATAGCCCAAGCGTAGCCCGAGCTCTGATACCAATTGTTGTGTCAAAAGCTGTGTCGAGGAACCAAACCAAACGCCGATCCAAGAGGGCCAAAACCAATCAAAATATCAATGCACAAACAAAACACCAATTTTAACGTGGTTCGGCAAATTGCTTACGTCCACAGGACAAGAAAAGGGGATAGAGTTTTCACTAAGAGAGAAAGAGTACAAACTGAGATTACAACTCACTCGAAGGAACAAACTAATCTCACCAACAAGCTCTTAATCTCTCCAAACAAAACCCTAAACAAATAGCTCAGAAAATACCTCTTTTCTGTGCTCCAAATATCCCCAATTTGCTCCTCCAAATTCTCTCTTCCAATTGTTCTATATATATAGAAATCCTAAAATCATAAACATACTAGGAATTCTAAACCAAAAGCCAAATCAAATTAGGAATCCTAATAACCTATTACCAAAATAGATTAGGAATCCTAATAACCACATGTTACCAACATAAATTAGGAATCCTAATAACCTCATGTTACCAAAATAGATTAGGAATCCGCTATCCAACAAGTTGAACTCCTGTGAAGTTTCTTAGTTCAAAAACAAATTTTTTAAACTGTGAAACTTCACGGGAGTTGAACTCCCGTGAAGTTTAGCAGCTTAATTAAAAGCATGCTAAACTTCACGGGAGTTTAACTCCCGTGAAGTTTCAGAATTTTTTTTGTAAAAACCGACCTGGTTTCGGCGCTGAGGCTGAAACCAGGTTGGTTTTTACAAATAAGAGAGAAATAAGTTGTTTTTTGGGAATAAATTTGCAAAAGAGTTTGTTTTGAAAAATTTGTCCTAAGAAGAAAATATGTAGCTTGACAATGGGGGACAAATTTTCAAAACCAACCTATTTGGACTTTTATTCCCAAAAAAAGACCCGTTTCACATTTATTTAGAGAAACCGACCTGGTTTCAGCCTCAGCGCTGAAACCAGGTCGGTTTTTGAAAAAAACTCTCCGAAACTTCACGGGAGTTGAACTCCCGTGAAGTTTTTTGAACTACGAAACTTCACGGGAGTTCAACTCCCGTGAAGTTTCGGAGAGTTTTTTTCAAAAACCGACCTGGTTTCAGCACTGAGGCTGAAACCAGGTCGGTTTTTGCAATTATTTTTGAATGGGGTCGTTTTTTGGGAATAAAAGTCCAAATAGGTTGGTTTAGAAAATTTGTCCTGACAATGGGAGACAGTTATCAGTCAAATCTTGGGAGGGTAGACCCTCTAGTTTGGAATAGTGTAGTTTGATTATTTTCGCAGATAGAAACTTTGGAAAAACATTTTTCATTTTGACTCTTCTACAGTAGTTAATTTTGAGCAGATGCGTATCCTGAGAGAAGTTAGGGAGTCTATGTGAGTAGGTAACTTAAAAATATATATTCATGCCGGAAGTCTATATGTCAAAATCAAAATGCGGAGGTAATAAGTTCTTGGAAAAAGGAGGTAAAATGTAATTTTCAAAATCTTTGACCCATTAAGAAAGCCGAAACCAAGAAATCCTGTAACTGATCCTAATGGGACCCAAATTGTACTGAATGATAACTATATTCCATCTACCAAGTAATTGAACCGCATCTAGTTAATTTTAAACAGATTTACAAATAAGCATTTGGCTCCCAATTTTATGAAGAATTGCTTTTTGCCCCCCACTAAAATACATCCTCTACATCGTCCTTATGTAATAGACTATCATATTATTCATAAGGAGAATTTTTTTAAAAAGGACATTTTTTGAAAAAATATTAGCAAAATCGATATTTTTTGGAAATATTTAGCAAAATCGATCTTTTTTTGACCATGTCATCTCGGCTGGCCAAAAAGAGGTCGATCTTGCAAAATATCGACTTTAAAATACGTGGAATAGTAGTCCTATGTAATTAGTGGTCGCCAATTTTGATTAATATGAAATGCTACCCTCACCTATTTTGTACTGAAATGGTTAATATTTAATTAAAAAGAACTAATTACACGGGATTATCAGTCCTATGTATTTTAAAGTTGATATTTTACAAAATCGACCTCTTTTTAGCCGGTCATGATGATGTGGCAAAAAAGTGTCGATTTAGCTGATATTTTAACAAAATGACCGATTTTGTTAATTATTTTTTAAAGTGGTCTTTTTTAAACAATTATCCTATTCATAAAAAAGGTTTATCATATTGATATTTTTTTGCATTAAAGCCATAGTTTTGAATTAATTTTCTTTTGAGTCTTGTAGGTTTACTAATATCAAGAAATTTCTCTTGTTAGCCCTAAAAGATAACATAGAAAATTAGGTCAATTCAAAGAAAAGAAATATTAGGCAAGCAAGTAAACTACGCTACTAGAAAAGATGGTATATTAGTCTCATATGTTCATTGGTGGGTTGGGATATGTGGGCTTCTATAGAATCTCCAAAGATGTAGGCAATTTACTTAATGTTTTCCTCTAAAAAAAAGGCATCTTGGTCCTTGAAAACAACTGAAAAAATTTCAAGCTTGGGCATATGGGTTGTCCTTTCTTATATTTTTCTACATGAATAACAAAGGTAATCTAAGAAGAAGGTTAATATCTTCTATATAAGTAATCTCCTCTCAAAATTATTTATTAATTATATCTTGTCGAATATACAAAGGTTAATCCATTTCCCTATATAGTATGCATCTCATTGGCTCTCCATATCTAAAACAACAAAAAGTTGATTACTTAATATATTTGGTATCTTGACATGTTGTCATGCTTATTTAATACCTAATTTATTGGGTATCTTAAGTTATTTTCATATTTTAGTTGTTAATAGTGGGCCAAAAGGAAGATATATTTCTATATTCAGTATGCATAAAATTAATTGCACATACATCTTGGTGATTAAGATGATGGTAACCTCTATTTTTTTTTGCTGGTTTAGATATATTATTGTCACTTTGCCTCTATATCAAGTCTTTCCATTGTACTACCTTATTATTCTTCTAAAGATCAATTTTTTTTTCCTTTCCAAAATCGGATTTCTAGCTTTCTAGTGATAAAACTCTCTCTTGGGCTCTTTTCTTGAATCAAGCATCCTTTGATCAAGCTATGAGTTCTCTCTATGGTTGGAGCTGGGAAGAGAACAAGATATTTGAGATTGCTTTAGCAGTGATCGATGAAGACAATCCTGATCGATGGAACGAAATTGTGTCGATAATTGGAGGCAGAAAGAGTATTGAGGAGGTTAAAAAGCATTATGAATCATTACTTGAGGATTTGAGTATCATTGAATCTGGTAGATTGGATGAAGAAGTTGATGATGAGCAAGATTACGATGATCAGTGTGCAGTTTGCGCAGAGGAAGATCAAAAGTAAGTTCTTTGTTATGTTAAACGAATCTCATTATCGTGTCTTTGTTTTAATTTGGTTATTCGATAACATCAAAGAATTTGGGTGTTCATTTTTAGTGATCAACTATAACTGATCTTTGACAGGTGACAGTATTGATTTCTCTAAAGTCAAGAATTTTTTTTTTCTTTCACATTCTTTGATCTGTCTACGCTTATGAAAGTAGCCAGTTCCTTTGCTTGTTTTCCTTTTTCCTTCTTGTGTAGACAAATAACGAGACAAAAGATTCTGTTTTTCAATAAAAAATAATTTTACAAAATGGAGTCTAGTGCTTTCCGTAGTTGCATGGAAGAGTAGACTCGTATGGTACATTAGGGAATGTAATATGCTTTATGTTTGGTTTTAAACATAGAAACTTGAGTGCTATATTGTACAATTTTCTTTAAGAATCACATTCAATGATCAACAATGATAAAAGAATTTTCAAGTTACAATTAAGGTGCACTTTTTGTTGTTTTATGTTCCCAAAAATGGTTGTTTTCTTTCAAATATTAACTAGTATGAATTCTAAATTGGGTCGCCAAAGTTGATGAACCGGATTGTGAGCAAATACGACCCGTTCCGCGACGATCGAATCCGGAGCGTGGTTCGCTGTAGTGTCCTCCCTTTCCTGACTTCTATGGTTCTTTCTCTACGTTCTGCCAAGTTTGTGTAAATTGCAAATATTTGACATCCAAAGAGCATAATGTAATACGTCTCATTTATCTACTTGGTACCATTTGACAACCATCTCATTTATCTACTTGATACCATTTTACAACAATCAATTGTGTTCTTCGCGTTCTGGATATTTTCCCAATATATAAGGGGAGAAGTCCATAAGAAAAGAGTCTTGGTGAATTTGACAAAGAAAATTTCCAAAATTATTGGATGTTTTGTGTCTTAGACGGGGCATTAAACTTCTATGCTGATATTTTATATGTCCTGTTGATGTCGGTTATTAAACAGGAATTTATTTGTGAATTAAAGTAGGATTAGGGTCATCAAACTCCTTCGGATGACTGATCTATAGGTCGTCGTTCTTTCCTGCACATGAAGAACTCGTAATAGCCCGGAGTTGGATTCTTCGGTTGTTCCTCCGACAATCAAGTTAGTATATGAACTTGAGTGGGAAAATGTGAGATGATGAAGAAAATCTCAAAGTTGTGTGGAAGACTCAGAGAATTACCTTGAGCTGCATGACTTTCTTTTATAGAGAATCAGAAGGGCGGATAGATAACTTGAGCTGAGTTCATGCAAATAGCTGACTTAGCAGACAGCTGACATATGTTAGTTGCTGACGAACATGGATCATCCAGGTGGTTAGTACCAAGCGACAGCAGCTGCTTAGTGCTGACGGAGCCTGATGAGTCATAAAGACTTTTGGGGCTCGAGCAATGATGATATTTGACCATGCATTTAATGTGATGGTGACTGGCTGTTAGCAAGGGGACTGCCTTTTGACTTGGCCTAATGAGAAGGGATGAGTTGGCCAAGCAAGAAGGGATGCATGTCTCGGTTTGGTGAGAAGTTCCTGGTGAGAAGTGACAACTTCTTGCGAGAAGGGCGAGAAGTACCGTCTCGTCAGTCGTCTGGTGGAGGGCGGACTAACACTGCCTTTTTACACAGCTATGTGAGTTGTCGGCTGAAATTATAGGCTGAGTGCAAGTGCTTATAGGATCGATCTGGTAGGTAGGTCGACAAGTACCGCCTTTTTAGTCAGCATCGAGAGTTGTCGGTTGAGATAGTGGTCCGAATCATTCCGGGCTCTGATCATGTCTGATCTGGCGGAGTGGGACGCATGTCGACAACTTAAGAAAGATCAACACTTAGTTATTTGTAGGTTCTAGCAGTGGTCCCCTTTCATTCAAACTCGGTTGGCCGAATACGAGTAAACGTTGAATAAAAAGTTAGATTTTCGCCTTCTTGATTTTTTAATCTTTTTTGGTTGCATTTGTCTCACGCTTTGTTTGAGTCCATGTTTGTTATAGAGTCAAGGTGGCTCGCCTCCGTGTGTAGGAGTAGTGCCACTCGACCTTGCGCCTTGGGTTTATTTGTGATGACACCATGATCTTGGGGTGCATGCCTTGGGCTTAGAAAGATGCTAAGGTTTTGCTATAAACATTTTTAGGCATAAATATTTGTTTTTATTAGTTTAAACCATGTACCTTTGAGTATCCATCAGTTCTTTAGGTTGAGAAGACTCGAATTAGTGCCTTGGTTTACTTGCAATGACACCAAGGTCTTAAGGTACATGCCTTTGGCTTAGGAATTTGCCAAGGTCTTTTGGTTGAAGTAGGTCAAGTTGATATGACCAAGTTTTACTCATGAATCGAAGCTGACCGAGTCAAGGCATGCCTTGGTTTTACCTCAAGAGGGAACCAAGGGATTTTGTTGATGACGTGCTTTAGTCTTACCCTGAATAGGTGCTAAGATCTTTTGAGTTGAATTCGACCAAATCAAGGCGTGCATAGGTTTTATCCCGAGAGGGTACCAAGGGTTTTTGTCGATGACGCGCCTTGGTCTTACCCTGAGTAGGTGCCAAGGTCTAGGCGTTTTGTTTGTTCAACACTTTCTACATTGCAGACATTTTTAGATAGAAATAATTTTATTTTTTTAATTTGAACCGTGTACCTTTGAGTATTTGTCGGTCCTTTGGGTTGAGACGACTCGGCTCCATGTGTGGGGAGTAGTGCTACTCGACCTCGTGCCTTGAGTTTATTCGAGATGACACCAAGGTGTTGGGGTACATGCATTGGGTTTAGGAAGATGTCATGGTCTTTTTTGTCAAAGTAGATTGACTTGACGTGCTTTGGTTTTACCCTGAATATGTATCAAGGTATTTTTGTCGATAGTGTGCATTGGTCTTACCTTGAGTAGGTGCCAAGGTCTTTTGGTTGGTGACATGCATTGGTTTTACTCATGAAAATGATACCAATGTCTTTCGAGTCGAAGCCGACCGAGTCGATGATGATCAATCGATGAAAGCTTCACATAGATATACAGTAGGAAAAAATATCTTGTTTAAAGATAGTACCATTAATTTGATTACCTTGGGAAGTTTTATGTGCATTGGGCTTAGACATGAAAAGTTGCCAAGGTCTCTAGCTGAGGTTGGCCAGCTTCTTAGCAATCTCCTTCCTCCGATCCCTCTTGTCGGCTTTGATTGGTATGGAGTCGGTTCTAGAGGGAACTTTTGCCACTTCCTCTCTTGGTGAGGGGTCGGCCCCTACTGCTGGCTCGGACGCCGATGATGTTATCGCCGCTGTTGTTTTAACTGCCCTAGCCTCCTGTTTGTAGGCTCGGGCATCTTCCACGTTCATATACACATGGGCCTTAGCCATTACCTAGTCATAGCTGGTGACTCGTTTCTTAACGAGCAAGTCAGCCAATTCGTTGCTCTCCAATCCGACCATGACAACGGACATGGCGACCGCGTTGCCAAGTCATCAACTTTTAGTCTTTTGGCCTAGAACCTCTTGAAATAGTCCCTGAGGCTCTCTCTAGGTTCTTGCCTTAACTGCATCAGAACATGGGGAAGCAGCTTCGGCTTAGTGTTGGCTAGGAAGTGGTGCACAAACTTCTGGCTGAGCTGATCAAAGTTGTTGATGGATTTCGTGGGCAAGGAGTTCCACCACAGCTTGGTGTTTCCTAAAAAGGTGATAGGGAAGCACATACAAATGATCGGCTCCAATGCTTGTAGCATGGTCATCATATCATAATAATTCTGAGCATGCTTAGCTACATCTCCTTTACCTTTGTATTTCTCCATGTGAGGCACCTTAAATTCATCACAAGCAGCATTCATGATGATGTCGGCAAGGAGAGTGTTCCCCCTATGGCCCCAGCGATTGGCTGAAAGATCTGATAATAATCAGACGCATGATTAGTGATCGAGGGGCCTAGAGTGGTACGAGAAAGTCGGGGGCCGGGTAATGTCGCCCCTGTAGCGTACTCTCAGCCATCATGATCGAAACTAGGGCTCTCCTATGTCGCTTTCATGTACTGCTGATGCTGCTTAGAAGGGGCTACAAAGCAAGTTTGCTGGCGAGGTGGGGAAGAGACATGCTCGGCATAGTCTTCTTTCTGTCCAACCCGAGTTCATTGGTGAACGCAACAAACTGTTTCTAGAAAGATTGAGAAATCCTCTACGTGGATTCTTCTAACTGGGCCTGAGTAACATAGTCTGCACCCGATTCTTTAGGAAGTGAACAAAAGTTGGACCAGGATGCTCAGAACCAGACATTTCGTATGAAGAAGGATGATAGGCCTCATGGTGAGCGCTAAAACTATTGATGTCAATTATCAAAAAGGGGGTTTATATAGATTAAAGTAGAGTTAGGGTCCTCAAACTCCTTTAGATGACTGACTCTATAGGTATGTTCTTTCCTGCACATGAAGAACTCGTAAGAGGCAAGAGTTAGGTTCTCCGGTTGTTCCTCCAACAATCAAGTCAATATATGAACTTGAGTGAAAAAATATGAGATGATGAAGAAAATCTCAAAGTTGTGTGGAAGATCCAGAGAGTTACATTGAGCTGCATGGCTTTCTTTTATAGAGGATCAGAAGGGCACATAGTTAACTTGAGCCGAGTCTAGGTAGGCAGCTGACTCGACAGACGGCAAACAGGTGTCAGCTTCTGGTGAAGATGGGACATCCAGTTGATTAGTGCCAAGCGACAACAGCTGCTTAGTGCTGACGGAGCTTGATGAGTCATAAAGACTTTTGGGGCTAGAGCAATGATAATTTTTAATCATGCATCTAATGTGATTATGACTGTCTGTTGGCGGGGGGCTCGAGCAAGACCGCTTTTCGACTCGACCTATCGAGAAGGGACGGGTCGGCCAGGCAAGAAGGGATGCATGTTTCGACTTGGTGAGAAGAGACTCTTGTCTCGACCTAGTGAGAAGGGACGACTCCTTGCGTGAAAGGCGCGAGAAGTACCGCCTCTTCAGTCATCTGGTGGAGGGCCGACTAACACAGTCTTTTAACTCGGCTATGCCGGCTGAAACAGTAGGCCGAGTGTGAATGCTTATAGGATCGATCTGGTGGGTAGGCCAACAAGTACCGTCTTTTTAGTCAGCCTCGAGAGTTGTCGGCTGAGATTGTGGATTCAGTCGTTTTGGGCTCTGATCATGTCTGATCTGGCGGAGAGGGACACGTGTCGACAACTCAAGAAAGATTAACATTTAGTTATTTGCAGGTTATAACACCATGATATCTCAAGCCAATTGTTAAAACAAAACATGGAGCACATTGATCAGGTTCTTTTAAAAAAAATTTCAGGTAAAGAATTTGATTATTGCATTCTTTATTCTTATATCTCATACATTGAATCTGTTTTTTTTTTTTTTGAAGCTAAAGATATAAAATACAGAAAATTTAATATCTACTTATATACTATAATGCAGTTAATACAGGAATTCTACTGATCAAACTCTTTAATCAATTCCCCAAACGTTATTAATCTTTATATGATTTTTATTTGTTAATAATTCAGAAATTGACAAATGCAGGCTGCTTGAAAAACTGAGGACTGCAGATTTCTCCGACCAAAAGCTGTTATCACACGAGCAAGACATATCACAGTTCCCCCCAAGCTAATCACTTCATGGATTCTTGCAAAGAAAATATCCGTTAGTTAGTTCAACAGGATCAAGGAGGTGAGCACTGGGACTGTTACATCATCAGTAGAAGATATACGCTTGAAATTTACATTGAAGTACTAGATCTTATCTACTCTGTCTTGCTAGCTGATACTGAATTCCTACAAATTTGAAGTTTCCGAGGTGCTTGGTTGTAAAATTGTGAGATAAACAGTAAGGACTTCGATTAGTCAGATAAAAAAAATTATCCTTTGGTTAGCTAAACTAATCAAAACTTCTTTGTAGTTAGTTCAGTACTTCAGTGTTTTGCTATTGAATATCTGGCCTCAATGATGAAGCAAATGCTTGACTACAAAATAAAAGGTACATCTTGAAGACAATAATTCTGTCATAGTACAAACAGTAGGAACAAAAAACAAACCTACAGTCTACAGATAGATCCTTCACCTTCAGTGGGTTATAGCCAGAATAGTGAATTTTGTGAAAAGCAAATCTATTTGCTATTGCGCCGAAACAATAAAAAAAGTAGACAGAAATAATAGATTATATAACTGTAGGCTGTCTAAAAATCACAATGGATAGCTAATCTATATCAAGCCCTGACAATGGAAGTTACAATCAGACGACTTTCTAATCACTGCATCCGCAACTCTGCAACCGCTATAAACACGGCCTCATCTCTGAGATGATTGATCTTGATGGCTGCGACAACAGCATGACTAATATTATATTAGCAACTATTAGAGATGCTGATGAGCAGTGTAATGATTTCAGAAATAAAAGGTTGGACTTAGTTGGTGAGTCGCTTGGTAGAGAGCTGTGGGCAAATATCCATCTTCAAAACACTATGGATGTTGATTCCCGTCAAGCTCTCACAACGAAAGCTACAATCAAATAGCTTTCGGGTCGACAGTCGGAAAGGGCAAATAGGAGACTTTTCACACAGATCGAGAAGAGTTACAATTTGACGACGCTTCCGACAGCTGATGAAAACCCTATTCAGTGGCCTTCACGATCGTTGGTGAGAGTTACAATCTGACGACTCTCATATCTTATAACAGGCAAAGACCAATAAACAATGGCCTTTGCAATGTCATGGCAGACGATGTTACAAGTCAACAACCTCTATCAAACGTAGAAGTTTAATTCTGCGTTTCTCAAATTCGAAACGCACACAACTTGTGCGTTCTCCAGCGAATGTCTAACTCTGCAACGCAGAGTTCAAGCACCAAACGCACACATAACGTGCGTTCTTCAATAGGTTCAACTACGTGTCCCAAACTCTGGACGCAGAGTTGAGCTTCAACGCACACGGCCTGTGTGTCTCAAATCTCTAACAGAGATTTAACTCTGCATCTCAAGCCTTAGACGCAGAGTTAAAGCCCATAACGCCAACTGAGGCGTTTTGACTTGTTCAAACGCAAGTCGAACGGCCTCAAAACCGTTATCCCACGTTCTGAGGGATTCTCGCCCACAAAGGAGCGGAAATAGGGGTTGGTTGCACTCCACATCACCCTATAAATAACCAACTTACTCAACTGAGTAAGGGGTTGGCGGGTTGATAGGTTGATCAATCGGTTTTCTGAGATCAAAACCGCAAAGAGTTGAGGGGAGCTGGTATCAAAACCACCCAAGGTCAACAAATCTCGGCAGTTGAGTAATCGGAAGGAAGAGATCTTCGGGGGATCAAGGAACTGATCAACGATCAGTTAATCAAATCCCGAAGGATCCTTTCATCAAAGGTATCATCCACTTGGCAATTAACCGAATTTTCGGTTCCAACAACTCTGTTTTAGAGTTTTAACTCATTCTGAGTTCTTAAACTCGTTAAGAGTTTTTAATTAGCTTGTAACGCAAGTTAATCACATCAAACCAGACATTCGGTTTTCAACAACTCTTATCAGAGTTCTTAACTCGTTCAGAGTTCTTCAACACTCGTCAAGAGTTCTAAACCGAAGTCATCAAACACTTCAGTTATTCCAGTGAAGAAGGACGGTCGGATCGTCAACGGAGAGCAAGTTCGACGCGATCAATCGAAGGAAGCACTCCATCGCTACCAAGAAGAACCCAGTCTTAAACAAAGGAGAGAATCAAATCCATTCTCTTCTCTTTTGTAATCGGAATCCAAATTGTAATCGATTTTGAGAGAATACAAGTCAAATTTTCTTTCTTTGTCTTTTTACATCAAATTTCCTACCAACAAAAGATGGCGACTCTGCTGGGGACTAGCTTCTCTGACGAGGAAGTGGTGGCGCAATCCGACGTTCACCTCACAGGAACCACCGTCGAAACTCTCGTCGTAGAGTTCGACCAAGCCAAGTATGAGGAGGTCCTCTCCTCTGGGTCCCTTAGCCCAAAAGCTAGGCGTGATACCCACAGGACCTCTACGGAGGTCAACACTACTGCTGAGATGCCAAAGAAAGCCCTCTCCTTTGGCCAAGACCTTAAACTCGCTCTGCGAGTTGAAGATTCCTCCCCCGTATCACTACGGCAAATAATAGGTCAAAAAAGACCTATGTCGGAGGAAAGCCCAACCAACGCCGACGATGCCGCGGCCAAGGCCTTGAAACAGGCTAAGAAAAATGCTGCTCGACGAAGGAGAAGATCCTTACGGCGAGCATACTTGCGGAACAGCCAAGCTACTGCCCAACGCAAAGACTGCGTTTCTGAGCCTGTGCCCGAACTGTGCGTTTCTGCTCCAGAACGCACACTTCGTGGCAATGAACCCGACTATGAGCCTCGGGTTATTCAACTCAAACGCGACCCTCAGTGGCGCGTTGTTCAACATAGACGCACACCTCAAAAGTGCGTCCCAAAACGTGACCTCCAAAGGCACGTTCAATCATTCAAACGCACGCCACAACCGTGCGTTCAGTCAAAACAAGACCCTCAAGGGTCTGTTCAAATAACTAAACGCACACCACAAGTGTGCGTTCAATCAAAACCCGACCCTCAGGGGTCTGGGTCATCAAACAAACGCACGCCACAAGTGTGCGTTCAATCAAAACCCGACTCTCAGGGGTCTGGGTTATCAACCAAACGCACATCACAAGTGTGCGTTCCAGCAAAGAACGACCCTCAGGGGTCTGTTTCAACAACCAAACGCACATCACAAGAGTGCGTTCAAACAAAGAACGACCCTCATGGGTCTGTTTCAAAACGCACGCCTCAAGTGTGCGTTCAACCAAAACAAGACCCGCAGGGGTCTGTTTCAACATCAAAACGCACACCACAAATGTGCGTTCAACCAGGACAAGATCCACAAGGATCTAGTCCATCAATCAAACACAGGCCTCGGCCTCGTGTTTATAAACCTAAACGCGACTCTCGTGTTTCTTATCAAGAGCATGACACGGTCCGTCAGGTTCAAAAGGGACAGCATGGATTTAAGATTCATGCCCAACCCATCCAAGGGCAGGGGGTTCCATCTCCACCTTCACGAGATCTTTCTCAGGTCTCCGACCTGCGTGAATTGCTGTCAAGAGGAAAGCCAACACAGCAAGTGGCTCATTCATGCCAGTGTGAACGGCTCATTTCTGCTGTTCTCTCCGAATGCAGTTGTTGCTCATCGACGCCTAGGCAATCGGTGTTTAATAGGTTGACGAATGTCGCTAGACCTGCTAAACGACAGCGTCGTCACAAAAAGAAGACCTCTGAAATCGAATATCCCGAGGTCACCATCAACATGATCGGTAGAGGAAAAGCCTCACGTTCCGATTCTGACGAGTCACAAAGAAGTAATTCCCCAACTGTTAGGGAAATTTGTGATCAGTTCGAAGGAGTATATAAGCATACTCGGACCCGGACAGGAGCTATTCGCCCGGTTGACTATCAAAAGTTGGCCAGAGGAATTACAACAAGTGATGAGCATTCGGCAATAGCCGAATCTCAATCTTCGAGCTCGGTCGGACCACAAGAAGTATCTGCTTACATGGCGGGAAATCCTGAGGACATAGCCAAGAAAGTGAACGAACACCAGGTCATGCTCCAGGCGCAACAGGAGACACTTCTCCAATTGAAGGACATGATGGCCCAACTTATTGCTGAAAAAGGCCACAAACCTGAATCTTCCCGGAGGACAACCTCCAAAGGAAAACAGAAAATGACCGAGCATTCGGATCGTGAGACTCACAACCTGGGATCCTCTTCCGAAGGTGAGAAAGAGGTGAAAAAGGAACTACATCCTCAATCCACCAAAATGGATGAACTGGAAGCTCGCCTCAATGCAATCGCCAACAGGAGTGAGCTCCGTGAAGAAGGAGTGGTGAGACCTTATCCTGCCGAATGGGATATAGCTCCATACCCGTCAAAGTTTAAAGCTCCAACCTTGCAACCGTTCGATGGCACAGGATCGCCAAATCAACACATCTACTATTTCAAATCTCAAACTGGAGATGTGGTGGCGAACGATGCCATCTTGACGCGATTGTTCATTGGCACTCTTAAAGGAGTGGCATTTGAATGGTTTATGAAACTGCCTGCTGGATCTATTCAGAAATGGGTAGATTTAGAAAGGCTTTTCCTGGCCAGGTTCTTCGAGGACGATACAGAAGTTTCGGTCCCGACTCTTATCGCTACCAAACAGAGGAAAGGCGAATCAATCAAGGCCTACGTGGAGAGATTCCGCAGCATGGCATTGCGATGCCCCTCAGGTATGACTCAGTCAACCCTGGTTGAAACTTGCAGGCACAACCTGCAGACTCAGCTCCTTGCCCAGATGGGGGTAGCAGAGTGTCGCTCCTGGAGACAACTTGTTTCGCAAGGAGAACAAGCTGAAGAGATCGTAGCTCGGGTGAAAGCCGAGGAAGCTGCACAACCCAAGCCGCAACAGCAACAGCAACAGCAACGCAACCAGAACAACGCTCAGCGGTTTAAGGGAAAAGAGACCCTAGCAACCGACTACTCTCGGGTACCACCGCCCACGAATCAAGGCAAAGCTCCCAATAAGCAAAAAGTGCCTAAACAGTATTCCTTCAAGGAGGAGCATGTGGACACTTTATTCCAGCTATTGCGGAAGAACAACAAGCTACAACTTCCCGAAATTAGGAAGCCGGAGGAGGCAGGGAAGGTAGATGACCCTAATTACTACCGCTATCACAGGTTCTTGGGACATCCTACTAGAAGATGTTACATCTTTAAAGACATCCTCCAGAATTTGGTGGACGCTGGGGCATCCTACCAAAAGA